GCTGCCCCCCGGAGCCCCAGACGGCCGAATGCCGACAAGTGCCGCCCCATAGCCTCAGGGTGCCTGACGCGTAATCATCTCTATCTTTAGGTCGAATATATTTTATGTTTATGTCAGATGCTTGCTTGACTGATTGACAGAGGTGTGAATGGGCGGAGTTTCATTTTCTCTACTTCCTTCTAAATTGCACAGCACCTTTGGAGAAATTAAATTTCCCGGCAGCCCCATGGTTTGCCCACCCGTCCTTATATGGCGACAAAGAATCTTGACCTCGAACTTCAAGATGGATCCATTACTGTTTAAAAGTTCTGTTTCCCTCTCGTCCGTTTTGAAATGTGATAACATTAATCGCTAATCGTTTTCCTCAGAGCTGGAAGGGAGTTCGCCGCGTTGGCTACGCGTTTGACGTCATCCGAGCGTCTGGGCGTGGCTTTGGGCTGACTGTCACCCTCCTCCCCGCAGGGTGTATAACCAGTCCTGTGAGGTGGACCTGTCCATGCAGAGGGGACCTGTGATGTGCTGCACCCTGGACAACGTGCCCCTGATCAGGTCAGTGTGCGGTGGGCACATTCGGACCCCCAGGCCGTACTATGCAGCAAACAGAACTCTAACCCTAACCCACAGTTCTCATCCTTCCTACTGTCGATTCCCCCAACAAAAATCCCTTCCCTGTAATCAGTAATTTGGCTGATTACACAATCTCTTGTATTAAAGAAGCCTTCTCATGGAGAAGCAGACATGGGCAAAACTATGACGACCTTAACCCCCACCCAGCCCCACCCTTAACCATAAGTAACCAAACAAAATACAAGACTTTTGGCATTTTTAGTTTTTTGATTGCAGTCACAGATTTTTGTAAAATTGAGGTTTATGCTGTGGGGACCTTGTTGTGTCTCCACAAGCTAAAATAGTGACAGGTTTTACCACATTGTGGGGACTTTGTGTGTTTATATTTGTGTGCGATTTGGCTTTTAAGAAAGCCAGCCTGGTTTGTGTGACATGACTGGATCAGAACTGGAGTCAGACTGGGAGTTTGAGGTCAGGGAAGAATGCAGCAGGACCTGATTGATCTTCCTGCATAAAAGGAGAAAAGACCTAGAGTGGGCCGTCTCACACAGGCCTGTTATATGATGTTAGCCTGGCAGCCACAGCCAGCCAATTAAGAGAGGCGGCCCGTACATGGGCTGAGAGAAGCCGGCCAATGGGAGCCGAGCCCACCTTGGCACTGGCAGGAGAAGGCGGGGCTTGTGGACAGGCAGCGTTCCTGTGAGGTACATGGATCCCAGCAGTGAGGCTGAAAGAAACCCAGAGTTAGCTTCTGCACGGCGTCCAGGGCCATGTGAAGCTTCCTGAAGCTGCTGCCTCGTGGACTTTTCAGATCAACAGGGACTCTGGCTCTGAAGCTGCAGTCGTACATCTAGGTTCTGTTTCCTCCGGTTCTTTTTTTTGTTTTACACCTCCCCCCCCCCCCCCCCCCCCCCCCCCCCCCCCCC